GGTCCTGCTATTTTCCTAAGTCTTTTATAAAATTTCTTGCATAATTTACTATACCCAAAAACTTTTGTAGCTCTTTAGTACTATCTAATTTATCTGGCATTTCTAGGGCCTTTTTAGCTATATGTGGTTGTAATTTAATTTTTCCATCCCCTAAGATTACTCCTAGAAAATTTATATAATTTTTACATAGTTCCATCTTCTTTTTACTAATTATTATTCCATTATCTACAAATAATCTAAATACTGTCTGTAAATGTCCTAAATGTTCTTTAATATCTTTACTAAATACTAATATATCATCTACATATACTAAAACAAATCACTTATATTCTCCAAATATACTATCCATTTTTCGTTGAAAAATTGGTAGAGTTGTTTTTAGTCTGAACGACATTACTAACCATTCGAAGTGTCCTTCTGGACAAGTAAATGCAGTCCACTCAATCAAAAACATTACACAAACACCCGTACAAACAATAGAAACTGCAACCAAGATAAGAACACTACTAAACGTAAGCCAGAAAAACCTGCAAGAAGATCAAAAGGAATGTTGTAAAGAGTGTAAAGATAAACCGTTAAGAAAATTGTAAAGAGTGTAAAGTGTGTGTGTGTGTGTGTGTGTGTGTGTCTATATATATATATATATATATTAACGGTTTATCCAATAAGAAAATTGAATAATTCGCCCCCAAACCGATAAGCCGCTAATAATAAAATTTCAATCTGTTCCCCCTCCGTTAAACCGATAACCAATACCAATAAGTCATTAAGCCACTTTTGCAGTTCGATTTGCGATTTTGGTTCGGTTTTGAACACCCCTAATCAATATTAGGATGGAAGCCATATGGATATATATATATATAAATTCTTAACGGATTAACAGTTTATCCGATAAGAAAATTGAATAATCCTCCTCCCAAACCGATAAGCCGTTAATAATAAAATTTCAATCTGTTCCCCATCCGTTAAATCGATAACTCAATACCAATAAGTCATTAAGCTACTTTTGCGGTTCGGTTTTGGTTCGATTTTGAACACCCCTAATCAACATCATGTGGTGCAAAAAATATTCGATTATGCACCAAAAGAAACAATAAATTAATAAAACTTGTTTAAAGACCAAAAAATAAAATAATCACAATTCTACTACACTTTAGGTACAGTTAGAAAGACATTAATATATTGTATACAAATAAGTTACAAAATTAGTAAACATATATAATAACTGACTACATTGAAGCTACAAATGCACTAATAAAATTATGTTTAGAGCAAGAAATTAGAAACTAACAACTAGACATAATATATACAATTTGTTTTACAGAAAATGAAACTAACATCTACAAATAGAGCAAATAATAACCAATAAAACCAACTAAATCATGTAGTACATTCCTTAATAAAATTATTTCGAATAATATACAAGAAATCTACAATTTCCAGGGAAAATAAAGAAAAGTTGATAACCAACAATAAATATACACTGTGTCGACAAAATTTCTACAAATACAGAAAACAAAAAATAGACATAGTCATGAGAATGAAAACAGGTTTTGTAACTAAAAAAAAGAACAAAATTGTAAATACTAAAATTTTACCTTCTCCAATGACTGTTTGTCACGATCCCAACCCCGGTCATGATGGCGCCCAACATACTGCTAGCCAAGCCCGACCATTCAACAACATTATCCCAAATTCTTATTCAGATTATAGATAAATATCACAGAGAATTTACTAAGTCATTTCATTCAAGTGTATAATTAATAATAAAATCTGCGGAAGTTCAATTAAAATACCATACCATAGCCCAACAGAATCCGGTGTCACGAATATGAGCCTCTAATACAGAATATCCACCTATTACAAGTCTGTCTAGGAAAAATACAGAATAAAAGATAGAGATAGAGGGGAGGGATCAAGGCTGCGAATGCCATGCAGCTACCTCAATACTCCCGAATACTGCTGTTCAGCTAAACAAATCCTCACTCAACCTGTGGTGTACCTAGATCTACACGCAAGGTGCAGGGAGTAATGTGAGTACTTCGACCCAGTGAGTAATAAACATAAATAAAGGATGAGAATAAGAAATCATGGAAAAATACAAAGTAAACTATAACTGGCAGTTTAGAACAACAAATAGTGAAGTAACAAGTCAATTAAGTCAGAGTACCAAATACTGAGACATGTATAACAGATAAAAACAAATGCATGAGTGCAATGCAATGCATATGATGATACACTCTAGTACCCACTACGCCGTGCAGCCCGAGCCATCCATTTATTTATCGTCGACGG